CGCACATCATCATCCTCCCTAAGTCGAACGGGATCGTCCAGTCGCTGGATGCGCAGCCAGACTGAAGTCTGCAGGTTTGAAATTCGGCCATCTTTCACCAGCCGACCAGCCGCACCTATCATAAACTTCCCAGCCTTGCCAGATGCCAACCGCCACTCGGACCCTTCGCTCAGGAACGCTCCGACAGAACCTGGCCTACCAGCTTCACTCGCGATGGAATGTGGGGAGGTGAGACGATATCCTTTAAGCCCCAATAAAAGCAGAGAGGGAACAAGAAAAGGTTCCATCTGTTCTCAAACATCCACAATATGGGCGACGGTGTCACGACTTCTCGCCTGATACATGATCGTCATACCTCTGGCTTGTCCGACAGGCCAAGTGTTGCCCCCCGAACCAAACGAGACTCGACTCTCGATGCGGTGACGACTACCCTCTCTTTCTCACCTACTGATGATGCATCGTTCGGAGAATCCCACTCTCAACGGTCGCTCTTTCATACTGCAGATGGAATTGGACAAAACGGCACTGTCGATTATGAGACACTAGACGGCTACTGGACGGAATAGTTCCTTCGACAGACATCGAAGAAGGTTATTTCTAGACCCGCTTTTTTCTTTTCCCTCTTTCCTTTTTCTGTCTTTGCTTTCTCCCCCTCTCTTTTGTTCTTTACTTCTTTCGGTTTCTGTTGATGATGGGGCGCTGCCAGCAAGATTCCAAGGTTTCTGACCTGTCACGCGTCATTCGTTGCTTCGGTCTTCACAACGCCATGCGAAATGAGCTCCAAACTGGACAGATCATTCGTACTGAACACGTTGCTTGCATTCCCTCAAACTGAGAGGATTCAGTAAATACTGGGCTGGCTTTTTGTCATACGATCGAGCCTAGCACGCATTGTCCGGTTTGCCGCTGAATCCAACTGCGAAACCCCTTATTGCTTGTATCCTCCGAACATCGTGGGCTCTCCCTGAAGAATCCTCGTCAGAAAGATATTCCACTGCCTTAGGTCTCTCGACTCAATCTCACTTTCTTAGCTTTCGACACAAAAAAGGGGGGGACAGAAAGAAAAATAAAAAGAAAAGAAAAAGAAAAAATAAAAACCCTCGCACATGAGTCGACTGTCGAAGGATATCGTTCTATCAGGAAATGTAGTTGCTAAAACTCGATCCAGGAGCGCTCGAACCTCACTAGACCCATCGCACAATATCACGTTCGATACCTCGAGCAAAAACACATGGACTTGGTTGTAGTCGAGAGTGGGAGTTATGCGGTGTACATTGCGGGCACCTTATCGATATTAAACCTTGGCCTAGTCCCTGCGCTGTTACTACCATCTCACCTGGATTTACGCAAGAGGCTCGAATTATTGTCTCCATCGCTACTGCATAATCCTGTCTATTAAAGTTACTTGGAACGTTTGATGTGGGGTTGAGTCCAGGCACATTGTATGAATGACACTGTCAGTGCTCGTAGCGAGATATCCAAGCGCGACAGAAAGCTCATCATCCTTATGGATATGTCTTCGTCGATATCGTTGACCTATGTACTCTTCATGTTTGATTGTCCAGTAGACTAGCAATTAGTCCCCCGCTAAAGGGGGGATAGTTGGTATCCGGTGCCACTAAGAAACGGGATCTGTGGTTTGACAGCTCATCTGTCCCTACTAGGGCACCCCCAATTGCCGGGTTCTAGTCAAACACAACACTCGAAAGTCTCAGTACTCTCCCAGACCATTCATACCGCTGGTTTGAAATGGGTAATCCAATCAACACTCGGTATTAGAATCAGATGAATCTTTTGGATAGATAATTATAACATGTATACGGAGTATATGGAGTATACCGGGGACAAAAGAGAGTAGTATTCCGCCATTGCCTAGTAGCTAATACTAACAAACAAATTGATTCCGATGTGGTGTTATCGAACGGCGGGCGCCCGCCCCGTCTTTCGATTACACTACATCGGACGGAGACTGGCAGAATGGAGAAGGCGGAAAAGGCAACCCAGCCACAGTACACACGTATTGCTTCGCCTCGGCAGTTGAGCCACACCTAGTTGGGTCTTCCCCCGTCTCTCTCTCCCTTCATAGTGCTGGTAGTACTCCGTACTCCGTAGGTACTCCGTACCTCCGTACAGTACATAGTACATGCATGCAGTACTGTACCGTATCTCTCGGTAAATGGACGGACCCCCTCCCTTCTTTACCTTCCTCCAAGCTTCATTTCCCCGTCTGAGCAACCTGCATCGTCGATCCAGCTCGCATCATTCAGACAGCCAAGAACTGGAAAAGCCACTGCCTCAGCCGCACAAAGGCAATCTCCACCAGTCACCTACAGTACCATACTGTATGTACTGAACAGTACGGAGTACTTTGTTATCGATATCGTCCCGTCTTGGAACCGAATTTCGCACATCTCCTTCCAGGGCGATTCTATTGATCGTTTTTGTAAACACACGAGGCTCTCTTCCTTCGAATGCGTGAACCTCCGACCATTCGGTTAATTGATCTCCTTGCTGCCCCTCTGACTACCTCTTCGTCCTATTCTCTGACTATTTCCGTTCCTAGAAGAAATGACAACAGTGACGTCAACGTAGCCGGTGTGGCTGTCTTATCGCCAGAACTAGCTACTATGTACAAACTAGCCTCCACCGAACCCCGGGTCTTCTCTTCTCTGCTTTAGAGACAAGCTACCTACCTACCCACTTGGCAAGACTTGCTCTATCGAGTCGGATCGCCAAGGAACAAACCTTCTCCGCTTACTGCCGAACTCCTTACAACGGTGCTGGTGCATCAAGTTCCTTGATTCTTCCCGACCGCTTCGGAAATGCATCTGCATGGTCAGCTGATGCTGCCAACAGTTCCAGACTAGTAGTGGCATACGGAAGAATCTGTCTACCGCTCTTTGACCGATTGGCCACTTGCAGAACTAAAGCAGACACAGGGCTTGAACGCCATTATCGAGGTTAAGGCAATCGTCTTCAAGCTACGCTACCTGTCCGCTGCGGTCGCCGTGAAACTACTCCGATATCTGAGAAGACGCAGGTGAGCTGTCCTGAATATTGGTGACCCAACTGAGAACCCCTGCAGCACGGGCTTGTGTGTTGCAAGGAGTCGGGGCCGGGAAATTCAACCGTGCAAGGGTTCCTGCGGTGATTTGATCGATTCGAATCTACTAATACCGCTCTCGCCAAGGCCGTGGTAGATCTTGCTTTTAAATGATCAACATCTTCTTCATTGAGAACTTGAGCACGGAGTAAGAGCAGCCAATATATTGAAACTTGGTTAAGCCAGTACTCATGGACTACGTTCTTCCGTTCCGAACGCGGAGAAATTGGCTCGACTGGAGATCATTCAAGGAACAGATGCAGAAGAAAAAATATCAACGGCCGACCCCGCTGACTGGAAATCCTTTAGTTCCGAAAAGACGTTGGAGATCTCCGTCTTGAAACCTTGTGAAGAATCATCATGACTACGCTAGCCCTGGTCTTCTCGAAATTCTCAATCTCCCTTCCCTTCTTCACGCCTGTCGGGGAGATAGGGCAGCACCTTGCGTCTGTTCTTTGCTCTGAGTCTTAACAGGAGGAATGCACTAGCTGGGCGGCTGCCTATGGCACATCTGTTGCGACTGTCTGCGTCAATAGCGAACAGGATACGGTCAGCTGTTTCATTTCAGTATCGCTGGAGAGTCGATCCCGATCTCCTCGTTCAGCTTTATCGTTGTTAGCCATGGATCCTCCCGACTCTCGGGTTATCAAGAACATTCATTGCCAATAGCATAGCGCAACATGCTTCTGGTGTACTGGTGTTCCACGTCAACAAAACGTCTATGCCTCAAATCCGACCGTGTCTACACTGAAACCCAGCGGGCGGATACTGGCAGTGGCATTTGTCTAGAGCTCCGCGGTCACGGCGAACTCAGCCGTTTCTTAACTCTATTGCGAGTCTCCAGTCTTTGACCCAAAGCCGTGTCGCCGTGACTGATTCCAGTACTTTCCTTGGACCCAATCCGCGGTTGCGGATGATAGTTATGATCACCGTAGATTGGAACATCAAGCTCCATTTCACGCAGATGCCCTGAACTGCGTCAGTGATGGGATGTCTCCGTCTTGATGCAGGAACATCGTTGACTTAGTCATGGAAGACAGTTTCTCTTTAGGACCGCTGTTGTCTATTCGACTACAATCGACTACAACCATGAAGCCACTCGAATAATCAATTGGTTCCTGCCGAACCACCAAGAAGAGAGGGTGGGAGAAGTGCATCAGAAACAAATTGGCTGTGGGAAGGGGGAAATTATTATCACCAATATCAACGAATGAACAAATGCAGGATCACTACCGAAAGTCGCACAATCAGGGTCCATTCGTGTCTTAACTGCTGCGCGACCTCCCGTGCTTCGTTCTATTCCTGATTAATCGAATTAGCTGCAAGAAAGGGCCTATCGTCATCATTTGCAGCCATTGCTTCTCGAGGGCGGAGTGGAGTTGGCCTCCAGGGGGCGGCGATCCGACCTCTTGAGTACGCCCCTTGCGTCGCAGCTTGTTCGAGTGCGAAACCCCCCAATCAATGAGCCCACACAAGTCTCTCTCGATCCAACCATCGCCTCCCCAATATCGCCATTTTGAGTTGCATTGCATTGCATTGCATTGGCGTTGGGTACCCATTCCTGATCCTGACCTATCGCGGCGTGCAAAGGCTATACCATCTGGGATTTTCGCATCAGCAGCACCAACCCCACGTACTCGTGCACGATACCGCCCATCCTTCCACTTTGGTCCAACGGCGGTGGCTTTCTGGGGAAGATGGGCCCTGCGACGAGGTGGGTGAGACCAGACCCGGTCTTTTCCAGTCATCCATTCTAAACTACGTCATTTTATTGATTCTCCCAGGCGCTGTACTACCGCCGCACTATTGGCTGGAAATCAAGATTCATGGTAAGAACTACATTTACTCTTACTCCATGGTTATTGCCTTTGGCATTCAACTAGTTGTACTCACTAAGCTAATGAAGCGCCAGGGGAATCTCAGACTGACTTTTGAGGCCCTGCGTTTGTACCTGATCGAACGCCGCCAGAAACTTCTCAACCTCAAGAGTCACAAAGGGAACAAACCCTATGTCCTAGAAGAGAGAATGGGGCTGTTAAGATTCAAGGAACCTGAACCTAGTTAGTCAAATCATCCCCGACCACCCACTCTGAGCGCGTACTCCTGCCTAGTCTGTTGCTCCTTCTCCGACTCCGACCACACAGTTATCCTTCTGACTGGAATGTGCAGCAGACAGTCCACCTAAAACCTAGCCATCCATATCACCCGTCACGGTTCATGCGCGCACATCACCTCCCACCGACCGACTTCTCTTCTCAGCTCGATCATCTACCGCGAAACAAAAAATCCCACCTACATACATAACATACTTACACCAATCCGACCATACCTACCACCTCTCCAAGACCATCAACTTATCAGTATACTTTGTGCCCCAAGCCCACCGGCGCACAAACCTTACCCAGACATGGGGATCCTGATTTCCGAACCATCTAGTCCCGCTCATCAGTGCACGGACTTCGAAGTTGACGCAGTGGAGATCATTGTAGATCCGTAGATCCCTTTAGGGTCGAGATCGTCTGGCCCTTTCTTACATTCATTGTATAGTAGGTAAGTCCTGTACATCCCGACCCATACGTGCATGTCCGGGATAGGAACGGTGGGGAGTGCGAAGATTCTAGCGGTCGCAAGCGAAACAACTGCCATGACCAACAGGTTTGTTTCCTTGTTTTAGACTTTTCTTGCTTTCTGGAAGCCCAGTCGGTGTGCTTTTTCTGTAGGATTCACTTAGTGTGTACAGTGGATTTTATTTCGCAACGAGCGCAATTGAGTCAGCAGCGTTCGATTTGGACTTAGTGGGGGGTCCCAGCCTGGTTTGCCGTATTGTTTGTTCTACTTGTTAGGTGGGCTTTGCCCCTATCCCATTGGGATCACCGGGATGGTGTGTCACTGCAGCTGGAGCGGAGGTGTAGTCGCTGTAGTCTTGGGGAAGATGGGAAGTTTGCTAGAGATAGTGAAGGACTTGAAGGTTACTTATTGCTGTCCTGTTGTTTGTTTATTTCGACTTCAATGTCACGGTGTACTGGCTTGGAAGGACAACCTGAGGCATTCACTACTATATAGCCTACCAGAGTATATCTTGGCCTGGTGGAAGATGGGGCCGGCGGTGATGTACTGTACAGAGACTTCATCTGTAGCACTGTACTGTACCTTTTGCAGGCTCTCATGTTATATCCTAGCTTCCCAGGATCAATTTTTGTCATTTGTGGATAGATAGCCAGAGTCGTGACACTACTGAACATAATGCACTTAGCACATATAAATCTGCATGTATGTGTGTGTGTATGTGTGAGGGTAGGTAGTATAGCATACATCATTCCCCAGTCCAGTCCAGCACAACTTTACCCTTACAAGTACACGGTCCAATACACCCCAATCTTGGTGGACTTGTTCTTTGTTACTCAACAGGAGCGTGCGTGTACGTCCTATTTGCCCATTTATTCCAACTGGCTCTTCCCACATGGTCGGCTCAAATCTCCTTTCAATTGTCGTTGTCGTTGTCGTCGGCGAGGCTTCTCTGGGCTGATGTTGCTGATGCCGAAAAACATATTTGCCGTTCTCCCGGCAAGAATCCAGTGCGATGATCTATTTCGTGGGGTTGGTTCTCCATCATGAGTGACTACACTCGTTCTCTGGCGTGATTTCCTTTCCTCTCTTTTGTTTCTGGCGTAGTGACAGCACTTGACTTCTGGTGGGTATATGGTACTCGGTCTCCTGTTTGGAAAGTACGGGCCGACTGGTTCGTGATTGCCTGTCTGTGCAGGGGTGTTGACAGTGGGGAATGTGGACGGGAGCATATGCTCTATATATACTGGGGCTTTATGGTGCTATACTGAGACTGGGGTTTGGTGGGCGATCATCGAGGGCCGCGAGTTCGGTGAGGTTTATGTTCTACCCAGAGGACGACTGTCTACTGTACTGTACCTAACTTATTTCTGAACTAATTTCAGTCGCTACCGAGGCCTACCTACTTCCTCATCCATACCGGTCTACAATGAGCCTCGAGGCTAGCAGCCCCGAAATACAGATACAATAGAAGTCCAACTTTCAAACGTATCCGTCATCATTCACTGAAAGGACAAAGGTCTCAAGAAGTAAGGGTAGAAATAGAAGTAGGAAGTAGAAGTGAAGATAAAGTAGAACCAACGACCTGTCTCAGCCTCCGACTATCGACTTCGTCCACTAGAAAGACACAGTCTACCATGTTGACAGGTCGAAGGATCGAAATGAAAGCAATGAAGTTGAAAGCCAAGATGAAAAACCATAACAAAAACACAAGGGGGACAACCCTGTACAAAAAGTGGTATCAAGTCTGTAAAGTAGGATTACCCTGTTCCCCAACGAAGAAGTGACAAACAGAGAAAGAAAAAAAGTCGACCATGAAATGAGAAAGAAAAATCGCAATAGTCAATGCCCCGCCCTCCTCCTTCCCAGAGTTAGTACACAGTAGTCGCCAAGCACAAAACCAGATAACAAGAAGCAACAAAGCAAGAGAAGTAACAAAAAAGACGCAGGGTAGTGGATGGAAATCATGATTCGGAAAGGAAATAAAACGCCAACCAATCTCTTTTTACCGTGAGTTCCCAATGTCGTATGCACAAGTCTCTCAATGAAGTTAGGTGTGTAAGTAAGGTGAGAAGATGATGGGGTATGAAGGTGATGAAGAGTAGAAATATAATGAATCTGAACTCGAAGACCTCGACGTGGGAGTGGTTGTGATGTGGTGAGGGAAATTGTGGTAGTCGCAAATAGATATCGAGTATCGTCCAGAAGTCCAAACATTGCGAGGTCTGAGAGTAAAAAAGTAGAATGGGGGTGAAAAAAGGGTTCCAAGGATAAGTGCTGTACACCTATTCGCTCGTAAAGAAGAATGAAGAATTGAAACAAGTACAGAGTTGCGCTCCAAGCAGCCGCAATTATTTCATGCCATTTTGCATCATGTTCTGTTGCTGTTGTTGTTGCATTACTTGAGCTTGCACGGCAGCCACCTGAGAAGCACGTTGCTGTTGAGCTTGCTCCCGCTCCCGACGCATCAATTCTTGGACCCAGAGTTTGGCATTGCGTTCAAGCCCAGCTTGATACTGTTGTGCGATTTGCGGAGGATACGAGGCGGGCGGACCATACTGGGGCATCAGTCGGCTGGCCATTTCTTGTCTCAACCGCAGCAAGCGCTGCTGGTATAGTTGATTGTATCGCTGGGCAATGGTGACACCCTGCGTCATGTTCACGCCTTGCATATTCTGTGGTAGGTGGCCTCCATTCGCCTGGGCCGCGGCCATCAGCATTTGCTGTTGTTGAGGGTTCAGTTGCGGCCCGTTCTGATGCATTTGGCCCTGTTGCCCTTGCGCTTGTTGCCCTTGTGACTGTTGTTGCTGTTGCTGAGCCAATTGCATCTGCGCGAGCTGTGCACGCATCAACTGGGCTTGGTAGGCTTGCGGATTGGGGAACTTGGCTTGCTGCTGTTGCTGCTGTTGTGGCTGTTGCTGCTGCTGGAAGTGCATTTGCATCTGCTGCTGTTGCTGTTGGTGGGCTTGGATATTCTGCTGTGCATGCGCATTCGCTTGCATCTGGGTAACCTTCGGCGAGAACTGGCCGTGAAGCATACCCTGTTGGGCAAGAAGTTGATTCCTCTGCTGCATAAGCAACTGTTGCTGCTGCTGGGTTGTGAGGCCCATCCCGTTACTCATTTGAGGGGTCGCCATCATGGTAGCCTGATTCAGAACTGGGGTAGGTGCCATGGTCGAATGGCTCGGACTGGCATGGCTCATCCTCTGCGTCGGTGTTACATTTCGCATGATAGGCGTAGCATGAGACATGGCAGGAGTGCCCTGGGTCATCTGTGGTGTTCCGTGTCGGCTCTGCCCTTGTTGACTTCTTGAAGCTGCCATTGGATGGCTCATGGCGGGGTGCGCGTGCTGTATCACCGACGGTGGTCTCGAAGGGCTTCCAGCACCCTGCATAGAAGACGTCATACTCATAGGAACCCCGGCTTGCGTTGTCCTTGTGCTGCCAACGACCGGTGATGATATGTGTTGTGGTGTCTGGTTGCGGACCACAGGCGATGACTGTGGCGCTTGACTGACACCATTTGGTTGAGCCATGGCATGTCGAGTTTGTTGCTGCGCTGCCAATTGTGCCTGAGCTTGCTGCGCCGCGAGCTGTTGTCTTCGAGCTTCTTCCTTGGCATGCTCCTCGGCTTGTCGCTGTTCAGCAAGACGACGTCGCTCTCTCTCTTGCTCCTGTTGCTGTCGCTTGGCCATCTCTTGCTTGACCTTGATCTCATGGTCTCGCTTCGCCTTCTCTTCGTGTTGCATACGGATGTTCTCAAGCGTCTTAAATCTTGAGAAGCGTGGCTCAAACGGCGCGCCACCACCGGTGTCATCGATAACAGCTGATTTTGGCCCACTGGCGCCATTTGAGGTGGCTGGTTCCAGACGCTCATCCATGATGAGCATGAAACGCTCTTCCTCCGCTGCGAGAGCTTCATCAGCGGCAAGTTCGGCCACAGTCCGCTTCCTACGCTTGGGTGACGGTGGTGGATCGGAATGAAGCGGGCTTTCCATGTGCTTCAACAGATCATGAACTGCATCAAGACTACTGACGGACTCAAGGTAGAGAGGGGGGGCCAATGCTCTCGTCAGCCTGGCTTCACACTCTAAGAGATCCTGGGGTTCCACCAGCATCTTCTGTTTCTTCGCTGGAGGGGCACGATCTTGCTGTGAATTGGCGGCCGCCCCCGGCCCGGGGGAAGACGGCGCTGTAGAAGAAGATCCCTGCGGTCGGGATGTCGAGCTGGTTGCCGTCTGCTTGGCCGTCTTTGGATCAGGTGTAGTAGCGAGAAGAGTCAGCTCGGCTTGAAGCGAACGGGGTGTAGGATGTAAAACAGTGGTAAACACTCGAGGTTTCGAAGGTTGTTTCGACTGGTTGAGTTTCGAATCCTTCTGCGAAGCTTGCGAGTCCGAGTTGCCGGGCTGCTCACTGCCCATCTTGACATCCTGCTGGCTTTCCGAAGCCGCCTCCTTTGCGGAAGGCTTCTCCGAAGTTAATTGATTCAGCTTCGGATAAGGCACATAGGCAGATGGTGTGACGTGCTCATTGTAATTGTGTATAGAGAAGGGGGTGTTGTTGTCATTCGATGACGGCACGCTTGACTTCCGAGTCTGCTGCGACACCGATTTGTGATCCACCACGCGGACAATTAGACAGCCTGCTTGTAGCGTGACTAGTTAGCCGAGCACCTATTGAATGTGCCGTATAGGGGCAAGAGCCTGCCTTCATAGAACCGAACATTGGCCCGTAACAGCTCCTCCATCATGTCATGAGGAACGGTTTGAGAGCGGATATGTTCGATGATGACCTTCATCTCCGAATTGTAAGGAAAGCTCCCATCTTGCTGCTCAAAGCGGAAGTGGGTCGGATGAAGGTGGAGAATCAGGGAGGGAGGGTGCTTGGAGAACTTCTTGAGGATATATGACGTGGTTTTGACTATCGGAAACGCGGATCCACGTGTTAGTATAACTCTAAGCGCATTCATCGAGGCTACCGCGGAAGCTCACCGAAGGGCTCTGGACACCGTTTTCCGGCTCGACGATCACCGTCGATTGATGAGGCCCTTGAAAATGGCTTCTGTAGCCGCCCGGCCTGCTCGCCGGCCTTTTGCGCCTCTTTCTTCGTCCGGTTCTGGGGGCCTTTGTTAGACGGTGCGCCCGTATGGGCTGTGCCATTGGCGCCGTTCGCCATCGGTGCGTTCGTGGAGCCTGCAGCAGCCGGTGTTGCAGATCCTGGGAGGTGCTTTGTTGTAGAAGAGGGGGAGGTTGAGGATTGTTGGGACTTGACACCGTTCATTCCGGTCTGAACAAAAGGCGGGGGAGGTCGTTTCATCTTAGGGGGGTGCGAATTGGGCTTGGAGATTGCCGTCGCCATCCTGCGAGCAGGGAGCTAGCGACGCGACTAGAGGCGACAACGAGCGAATGCGACTGCGCGTTATGGGGGAAGCCGGGGGCGATGGAGGAAGACCGTGAGTCGTCGTCGTCGATGAATACAGCCGGAGCGCGAGACATGTGGGGAGCGGAGGTCGGAGCGGCACGACAACGAAGGGGCCGGGATACGGACACTTGAACACAACGCGGAGTCGCTACAGGAAGTAAATCGGGGAGTCCATCGAACAGACACCTGCAGAAAGAGCAGGGGAGGTTCGAGAAAATTATATCGGAAAGGGAGGGTGATTTCAGGGCTGACCGTCTGGCTCTCTGCGTCAAGTGAGAGGGAGTTCGGTCCAGCCCAAGGCCGCGGACGACGTGAAGGAGGCTGGATCATGTGATATCCGCATCGGGTTAGCGCCGATTGGTGGTTCCCTCGATGATGCCTGTTTCAATGACCCTTGAATCGATCTACAAAAAAGACTCATGCAGGAGCATGAGGGCACTGATAGCATTGGTTATGCTGTACTGTATATATTCACCAGAAAGTGACCAACAGAAGGAATTCGCACATCATCATGGCAGGGGAATCAAACGGAAATGCAGAGAATCGTCAAGTAGGGGAATAGGGCGGGTAAAGTTATAGACATATGAAGCGTTCATGCACTTCGCTTGTTCCAGTGAAACTGGCAGAGCCCGAAAGCTCGCTAATCAAACCCAGATACTCGTCGTCGCCAATCATCGCCAACCCGGAGCGCATCGACCACGTCGATGCGCTTACCGAGCCCGGTGGTGCCCTCCTTCTGCCACCATTTCTCGCCCTTGTCCGCCAAAGCCGACTCGTCATCGCTATCGATCAGACCACCGCGGCCACCTTCGTCTCCGACCACGACAACCACCTGTCTAACCCAGCCGGAAATGTGATGGACCGCCTCTCCGTCTTTTCCAGCCAAAGACTCTTGAACATACACGGTATCCGGGGAAATGTGTCGCACAAGATGCACAAAGCCAGTGGCAGTGCTAAAGGGCATGATGGTGTTTGGTTTCTCAACAAGAGCCTGAGCTTGCGTGTACATTGTGCGAAACAACGGGGTGGCGCCCTCGTGCTCGTCCGTCGCACGAGACTCGCCCGATAGTTCACGGCCAGGTACCTCACCCGGCGATGTCGCTTCCTCCGGAGCGATATTGGAATAGGAAGACGTGACCGACAAGGTAGGTGGAGAGGAGCCGCCTTGGCTAGGGGCATGCTTCAGGCCTGGCGCATAGATCATAATGAAAACGCGGGTGGTATCGAGATTGACATGTTCTGGAAGGTGGGAAAGGATTGACTACAGGTACATTAGCGTGATAGGCTCAAATCATAGTTGCACTGCAGAACATACCGCATGCTGCGAGATAATCTCCTCAGGATCCACCCGAGGAGTTTCAGAGGACACCACAATCGCGATAGTCTTTCTCTTCTTCTTATCGGTGGGAATAGGGCCAGAGACGGCCTCGCGGGTCGTTGGCGCAGCGCGGGCCGGCTGTTCTCTCTGGTTGGCTCTGGATTCTACTTCTTCCGACCACCGTGAGTGGTCTTCAAAGTCTCCTCTATCCTCCTCCCGGATCGATGTGAGAGCTCCGCCGACGAAGGCTCCGGCCGCGGCCATTCCCGCAGCGACTCGCTTGCTGGCGCCGTCAAGTATTTGCTGGGGGCTGGGTGTGCGACGCAAGGCTCCCTGCATGCGTGCCATCATGCTGGCATCTTCGGGATGGCCACCGTGGACATCTGTTGCTGTTGAGCGAGCATACGTTCCCTCGTAGTCGCCGCCAGCAGGATAAGCCTCGCTACCGGGACCGGAGGCGGGGAAAGGTTCATCGTCGCGGCGGCGATCGCGGTCATTTTCGTCATCGTCATCTTCGCTGCGTTCGCTCCAAATCCAAGCGGCAATGCCAACGGTCGCGATGCCTACAGTCAGGGCCAGTGGCACCCAATAGCCCAGGACGGTTCGTCTCCCCGAAGAGCTGAAACCCGTTCCGGCTCCGACCCGCCGACGGCGGGCATCCTGGGAATAAGGGAAAGACATCGGGATGGTTTCAATCAATGAGAAGAGACACGTAGGCTCAGAAAAGTTCCATTAAGCTGAGCATCACATTTCAAGCTGGAGGGAAGAAAGGGGTAGGCGTCAGGCAGGGTAAGTGTTGGAATGAGAAAGGGAGTGAGAGTAAGAAGCGAAGCCGCGCGCGGGCTGGCCTCGGAGGGAGCAAGAAACATGTGGCTGGTGATGCTGGATTAACCGCGGGATGTTTTTTAGCCAGTAACGGTAACAGATAACTACGGTATGGTAAACTACTAGGTACTAGTAGCTCCGCCAGCGGGCTGATAGTTGTGGAGGAGCAGCGATAGTTACTATGAGCAGCAGCAATCCGGGGCGCGAGGGCGACCAGAGATGCTGTGTCCTGAGGTTTGTGACGCTCGCACTGTTTGCATTGTATGCAGCTGCCGCAGTCCGAACCTGCGATTGCTGAGTCAGTCGATGCTATCGGCGCATGCTGGTGGGATTTTGGTTAACTAACAAACGACCTTGACTCAAAGACCCAGCAAGAAGGAGTCTGATGATCTCTAGCTCGTCGACCTCTTGAACCATTTCATACGCGGCTCAGACTAGACATGATCTAGAAGGCTCAAGGTCCGATTCTATAAAACGCCTTCCTTGACGACGCCTGATACCCAAAACTACCTTCCCCCTCCACCCCGCGTCAAACTTCCGTCGCAAAATTTGTATGGTTGACCAGCTGACTCTGTGATCCATACATCCTCTTCGAGTTCCCCGGGCTTCTAAATCATCCAGAAATCGCACAATACCGACATGCCGCACTCAGTTCCAGTGCCCAACACGGGCATTCAAGCCCTCATTCTCTGCGGACCTGGTGTGAGTTCGATCAAAGGAAACAAGGAAGCAAGCAGCTTACTGATCTGACTTACCTTTTAGGTCAGTTTGAATACCTTCACCTCGAATGAGGACTCTCCCAAGGCTCTTGTCCCGATTGCCAATAGGCCGATGATCTACTATCCACTAGACTGGTGTTATCGCATGGGAATTACAAGTCAGTAACTGCCGTCAATTGCGCCAGGATTGCGCCCAACAGTCTAACAATGCCAATCCGATGTAATAGATATCACAATCGTGACTCCTTCGGAGATCAAACAGCCATTAGAAAGTGCCATGGGTACAAATCCCTACTTGACCTCCCTTCCGTCCCCTTCGCCGTCAATTCTGTCGCCGCCCGACTTGACCATGACCACCGGAACTGCGGAACTGCTCCGCCTCCCCGAAGTCCAGTCGTGCATCAAGTCCGACTTTCTGCTCCTTCCCTGTGACCTGATTTGCGATATACCGGGAGAGTCTTTCATCGAAGCATGGATGGCACAAAGCGCGCTAGGGGGCTCCGATGGACCGAAGACCGTTGGGTTGGGAGGTGGCAGTCCTCGTGGTGGTCTCGCAATGTTCTACCAAACTAAAGGCCAGGAAGAGAGCGTTAAGGGCGAGGCCACGGACTTCGTGGCTACCGTCCCCCTCGAGGAAGATGAGGCACCAGCTGTGTCTCACCCACTGGACGGACCCGCTGCGCTGCGGTTCGGACTGTCGAAGCTGGCTCTCTCTATGCCGATGGACACATTGAAAGAGAACATGCAGGAACAGAAGGGCTTGCTCATTCGGCACTCTCTGGTCAAGAAACACCCCCGGATCAAGCTTCTTACCAGCTTCCGAGACGCAAATTGTTATCTTTTCCCGTACTGGGTGTCCCAGTTCTCGCGTCTCAACGAGCCGTTCGAGAGTATCAGTGAAGATCTTGTGGGATGGTGGGCAAAGGCAGGGTGGCAGACGGGGCTGGGAGAGAAGCTTCACTTGCGAGAGATCCTCCAGCCAGAGAACAAGGGAGAGAGCGGTAGCCAGGATGGAGATTCGCTGGAGGATGAGATCGATCTAAACTCCATGATTTCTACGAAATCGGGGGCTGCCGTCGCTCGCGAAGGGGCCTTCTCTGACGATATCCAGTTCGCCTCCCGCGTTCAGAATCCTGATGCCAAGGACGCAGACAGCGCAGAGCCCCTGCATGTTCCTCCGATCCTGGCATACATGCACTCTTCCAAAGCGTCAGCGCCATTGGTCAGACGCGTGGACAGCTCTGCTCTGCTCCTGAGCGTATCGTTGAAGCTGGCAAAGCTGGAAGCAATCGAGGAGGTTGGCCGCGTCGCCGCCTCTCCTTTCGCCCACAACCAGAAGATCAACGGCACATCGAATGTGGCGCAGAGGTGCACCGTCACCAAGGCTGACTGCTTGATCGACATGAACACCACGATCAACGAGAAGTCGGTGGTCAAGGAGAGCGTCATTGGAGCCAACTGCGTGATTGGAGTTGGCGCAAGGCTGACGAGGTGTCTAGTCATGGATGGAGCCGTCATTGGAGAGCGTGCTCAATTGTCCGGCTGTATCATTGGCCGCAGAAGCAAGATTGGACGCGAGTGCGTCCTCAAGGACTGCGAGGTCCAGGACGGCAACGTGGTTGAAGATGACACTGAAGCGAAGAACGAGAAGTTCATGGTATTCGAAGGTCTAGATGACGATGAGGATATGGATGGAGGGGACTATGAGGATGATCAGGATGACTTTTAGGTGAACAGCGCTTTGGCAGGAAGCGATAAAAGAGCAATAGAAATACTAATGATGTGATGACACTTTGGATGTCTGACGAGAAGGTTCATTTGTTCTTTTTAGAATTATTAAGTCAGATGTCTCTCAGATATGAAGAAAAGAGAACAAAGAAACAAACTGGAACTCAAAGAGTTACATCTTTTCTGCCTGATTGTAAAGAAGAATCAATCCTGACAAAAGAGAGGAACCAGAGCCAGAAACTGCTGCCTAAGCTGAACTGATGGGGTGAGTGAGTGAGTGAGTGAAGTGAAGTGTACACAAAAAGTGCACTAAACAAATGGACTGAGGTATTAGTATGTGGAAGGTGCAGTGCAGTCAGTAACTTACCTAGTCGTAATACTAACGTACCTACTAGGTAGTAGTACTTCGCCACCTCCACAGACGGTGTGAGACAAACCAGCCAACCAACCAACCAACCAACCAACTAAACCAACCCCGAACTTCACTGCATCATATCCCAATCGCCATCACCAACCTCCTCATTAAACCCCTCGGAATCTTTGTTATAGCCGCATGCAAAAGGGCTACTGAAGAACGGGTGCTCGCCTGCCTCCTCCCTCTGCCGCTGGTCCTCTTGATCAGTCACATAGCACTGGAAGATCCATTCCAACTCCTCCGTTTCGTCGCCAGTCCCCTTCTGTTCATCCAAGTCCATCCTGTCGCCATCCGCAACCACAGCCCCGCTCTCCTGTTGCTGATGGTTGTTACACTCCGAAAGATCAAAGCCGTCAACCGCATCATCGGCCGTTCCTCCCAGACCCACGTTCCGAAGACGAGCATCGGCACGAGGGTTGACAGCTCTGGCGCCTCTACCTGAACTCCTGGCCGAAACAGGCGAGCACGGCACAATAGTCGTATCATCCAGGAATTTCACATATCTAGGACGCTTAGGCTCCGGCTCTGCCTTGGATTCGGCTGCGGGCTTAGACGCGAGGACGACCTTCATCGGGGGTTTCGGATCCGCACTGGCAGCATTGTTAGGATGGTTGTTACCATTGGGATTACCAGTAACAGGCAAAGTGGGCAAAACTGGGTATAGTTCCCGCACCGGACGTTTTCCGCGTCTGATCTCTCCGCTGCGCCTCTGCTGCATCATCACGGTGGGAGACGACATGAGGTTTGTCTGCGGGTCGTTTGTGTCCTCTGGTACCGCTTCGGGGGCGTCGGGGCCGGTCGAGGGAGTGGCATAGGATGCAAAGTCCAGGTCCTGCCAGTAGCTGTTCGCGTTAGTGGGCTGTCTCAGCCAGGAGCGCCGGGTCGCAGGGAGCGCGGGTGGACCCATGAGCCTTCCAGTTTGGGGACGAGGACGAGGCCCGTTGAGCGCCGGGGTCGACTGGGGGTCGTTGGACGGGCGTCTCATGCGCGCCGGTGGGATCGCGGGCCTGGGCCTAAAGACGTTCTGGCGGGCAGAAGCTGGGTCGAAGAAGGGATCTTCGTGGCTCTGTGCGAGGTTTCTGTAGCCAGTCACGAGGTCGGGGGAGGTCGGGTCTTGGGATACTCCATGTGTGGAACTCTGGGGAGACTCACTGAACCCCGTGCTTTGAGAAGCATCGTGGATCGCTGGGGTGATGCCAAAGGGGATGTCCGGGTCTGTGTGTGAGATCATGGCAGGCGGCTGCTGAACAGTCCCATAGTTGAGTATCGGCATCGGCACATATGGACTTGGTGGATCATCGTCCTGTGTGTGTATATGTGTCAACAAACGCCTATCAGCCTGCCTTTATTGGACGACTCGAAGAACTAACCTCAACAAATGCTGGCGCAGGAGCCGTGCCAAAATACTCCAGAAGTGTTCCCAGTGCCGACTCTCCAACCACTAGTGTCTGATTCTGAGGCCCTAGCACCAATCTCGCCGATTGTGTAGCCTCGTTCTCGACCACGATCGGCGGACGGGGCTGCGCCTCTCCCACTCTCTCAAGAGGCGGATGGGCAGCGACGTTCTGAGGCTCCGTGTTCAACGTCGAGTGACCGGCGGCGGAAGAGGAAGTTATTGTGACAGCTTCCTGAGAGGTGCCTGCAGCAGGCCCGGTGGCAACAGCAGTGTCGACAACACTCTGCCCCGACGAAACCAGCACCGCCTGCAAGTACGCCTCTTCCTCCTGCTGATCCTCGAGGCTCTTGGATCGCCGGTATCCCGGCTGCATCCAGCGAGTGTGATCACCCCTCGCGTAAAAGCGTGTCACACTGTCAATGAAACCCGGGTCGTGACGGGACATGCCAAGGATAGTCTCCATGGACTGAGTAGTGAAGAGTGTTTTCTGCCTCAGGAACGTGTATCTGGTAGGGGGGTCACGACAAATCAGGCAGGGACTTGCAATCGTCAGGGTCCTGGCAGGCAGTTCCTGGTGATTTGGCATCTGGTGGAAGGGACAGCGCTCTTTGAGGGCCCAGATGTGGGTGCAGGAGTAGATGTGTACCTCCATACGACACATCCCGACGGTTGATATCCTGCAGTTTGATTGGACCTCGGTGATGGTGTGTGTCTTTGACACGTCCAGATGGACTCCGGTGAAGCTCTCGGCGGTGGGGAATCACAAGGTAGCTGATGACTTGGTGGAGCGACACGGCGTGTTGTGAGGTTGTGAGTTCATTCTCTCAGCATCGCGAGCGGGTCCTCTTTTTGCATCGTGGGTGCGCATAAAGCAGACTCCTTTTTGGATCGTGTGCGCGCGTAAAATTAGCCTATTTTATGCGCATATCCTGGGGGTGAGGTGATATAGCCCTAGTGCAGGTGCAGAGAACCGGACTTTGTTCTTGACCAGAGCGAATGGCGCTTATCACGGTAGTGGCAACAGAAAGAGACTGGCGCATGTGATTTACAGATGAGTCTGGCGGTTCTAGTACATGTATTAAGCTATCTCTTTATTAAGTGGTTTATAAGGTTGCATATCCCAAACTGTATAAGGTTGATGTTGTACACGATGTAGATCAAAGCTTAACAAGCTCACTTAGATGTGACTTTATAAGGCTATAAGCTCTTCCTTCCTCTTGAATCTGTAGGTAAGACTATTCTCTGATACTACTTTTATCTGTACTGGGCTGGATGGTGATTGATAATTATCTCTCGTTCATATACAATACTGTTTCTACAGATGAGGACTCCTCGCTTGCAACTTTGATCTGAATGTCCCTGTTCCTTGAGATATCTCGTGCCACAGTATACTGAGGTATGCTCTATGTATAACGGGCCATAATAATATGCAGAAACATCTGTATGTAGTATGTAGGCACACAGGAGCATAATTTACTGGTGGTGCAGACTGACATAAGTATCTTTTATTTGAGGACTTAACACAGCTATCAAGTACAGCAGAGAATCATTCACTAGAAGAAGATCCATGTACAGTATGTTCTACTTCGAGGCCCTTGAATGTCTGGCAGCCTGAGGATTTATGTTCTTGGAACTATTAGGAACAGCGGGGCATAACTTTCTGGAGATGCAGGTCGATGTACAGCATTGGACCTTATGGCTACTAGGTACGTGCCTCATCCTTCGGGATACTTACTCAATGCCTGGCAGCCTAGGGATTTATGTTCATAGAACCATCAGAAACAGCAGTGCATGATGTACTAGAGGTACAGATTGATGTGCATCCGTGCTTGGGGAGATTTAATGCCTGGCAGCCTGAGACCATCTTCTTACAACTATTTAGCTTGGAATGTCTGACCACCATCAATCATAGTTGTAATTATGTGAAACCCACTAACCTCACCTGCAAAAGTTCCAGATCAAATTCAGAGCCCAGAATTTCAAGATTGAATTTGAGCATAGAATTTGAGCATAGAATTTGAGCATAGAATTTGAGCATAGAATTTGAGCATATATTTCAGAGCATAATATCAAACCAAAGAAGTTTTTAGCGTATAATCCAAGACCTATCCCTGACACCCTTCAAACGCAGAAGTATCCATCCATCCGTGCGCTAAGTTTTAAACAACACTGCTCCCGCCAATTCACAAAAAGTTAAGAGAGTTTAAGTTAAGTTAAAGGAAAGGGCCCAAAGAAAAAGGAAGTACCCACAGGCACACCCGTGTCTGTTGCTCCACTAATTATGCTTCTTGTTTCGTGGGCGGTTGGATTTCATCCATTCATGCACGACTCCTTGTTTGGGGCAATTCCTCGTAATACCGAATAAGGAGATTGAGGATGCCAGGGACTGTGGTGTGTATACTTTTGTACTGTACCAGAGGAGATGATGGCAGGCGGGATAGGAGATTTGGTGTTGATAAAGTTGATGACGAGGGTGATGATGATGACGATGATGTTGATGATGATATCAAAAAGATCTACACTCCTTCCGGGCCGGTTCTATGGCATGATACCTCAGTAATCGTGTCTGTCAATACTTTCCCGTCTTTATCGTCATGGCACTTCTTCTTGGGTGTTTAGATTGGAAGCCATGATCGGATCAGGTTGCTGCTTCTGCTTCTGCTTCTGCTTCTCTCCCCCAAGACCTCTTGTGGACCCCGCAGTGGGTCAAGATCGGGCGGTTCATGTCTGAGATGTTGCCTGCCGTCTTTCGGTTTTTTTTTCATCTGACCCGGACTTGTTGCTTGTTCAGATTCGAATTTCATTAAGGATGTGTATATTTCCCAAATTCTTCGGGCAGGAAGAGTTGGGAAGATGTGGCCCTCTCTCTCTTGCTTTGAAACACTTACGTAGGAAGCATACGAAAATTGACTCAGATCGGGGGGTGTATTTGGTCAGTGGTGACAGACAGACGGATAGCCAGCAAGAGCAGATAAGCCAGCGAACCACTACGCAACACAACACATGCAAAGCCCGAATTCCGGGGAGAGAGTCGGCTGTTTTGTCAGTTTCCTTTTCGATCAGTTATGTCTTTCTTGCTTCGGTATTATCTCTGAGAAGATCCTAATATTGATCGAAATCTACAGTACAGTACACGTCCGTCGCATAGTTACATGACTCGGAAAGTTGACTGCCAGCTTCCCCCTCCCTCAAAAAAAGGTACAGTACGCGTGAGAGGCTTTAAAACCAACCATACAGGTCACGGAAGCTACAATTCAATTAAGATTGCTTTTTTTCCCCAGAGCTCATGTGAGATGAAGATTTGATCATCTTGAAACCCAAGTAGGAAGGTACGGTCAGCAGCTGAGCCTAAGGAATCCTTACGCGAACAAGTCAGCGAAAACCCCGCTTGGTGGTTTTCCGATTGCAGCGACATGCAGATGGCGCTAGTGTGAGAGTGGTTGACAATTCGGTTCCTACGAGTTGCAGCAGTACTTCCAGCATGGGCACGCAAGTACTGTCCTTTGTTGGAAAGGGCTTGGATGGAACTAATTACAATGCTTTATGGACTTTTCAGCAAATGTCTAGTTGAGTGCGAGATGCGTTGATTGGTGTCATCTTACTCTCTGCTACTGTCATTGACAGTAGTGTGCTAGTATGGAGTAGAATGAACTGCAAACCTATCCTGTCTATTCGTCGGTCGCTCGGTAAGCTCCAGAGTCAACAGGGACAAGGAACGGAAGTCAGATGACGGTCTTGAGGCGCGAAGTGGTATGTACTGACTGTACTACGACCCTAACGGGCTGGAGGGCAGTACTTCGGGGAGGTAAGGATGGTATAGCACGGAGTATAGCACTCGCAGTTCGGCAAGTTTATGTTGGTCAAGTATACACAACTTTCCCCCGTTTCTCAAAAAGAAAAAAGTACCATAGTATCTTCATTATAATAGAAGAAGACTAGGGGGGAGGTTCTTTAACCTCCGAGAACAATCATCATAGCGTGTTCGCCGCTGGGCTAATGTCCGGACAGATCAGAGGGGAAGTACTCCGTAGCTGGTAGTCACTAAGCACTTAAGGTGTTTCAGGTATATCTCCGTGATGAGTCGGGCACACTGCCAGCGTTGGGTTGTTTGCAGCAGCAGCAGCAGCAGCAACAATATACTCAGTATACATAGTGATGTGTCCCTGCTTACCTAGTCTCGGGCTTGTTCTGGAGCTTTTACTCCTTTTACTCCGTAATTTACACATATGGTCGACTTGAGGGGGGGGAAAGAGATATCTTAATCTCGACTGCATGGATACTGGCTGGGATTTTTATCTCCGTGCGGCCAATCAGGCGGGCAGGTGGGGGATGGACGTTGCCCCTCCCTGCAGGTTGATTGTCGTTCAATCTATTTGTTTATCTGAGCACGTTGGGGCTAAACTTCCTGCAGTAAATGGAAGAATGCCCCCCTCCTCTCGCCCTGGAACAGGGTAGGGAGGTGTGCCACGAGTGGAGTGCTGAGCGGGCTTCCTGCCCTGGTTGTGAGTTTCGAGGGCTCAAGACTCGACTTTTGATGAGATGATGAGATCAAATGGCTTGGCTGGCGAGCGTTGGCGCGGGGACGTCCTGCATTCAGGGTTCAGCTGGCTATACTCAAGCTTGACTGCTTGAGTGACGGGGTGAGATAGCTGATAGCACGAGTGTAGCTGGTGGCGATAAGAAGGATCTATCCGCGTGTGTGGAATATGTTGCCGACCGGTACTTTGCGACTATACTCGTAAGTAGTATCGATATTGACAAAAGAGAGACTTCTTGCAACGGTAGCAAAGGATATCTGTAGATAAGTTTTGCTCCCTTTCGCAAGCAATTCTACTTGAACCTATCATTTGAGCTATCCTGAACAGGTGAAAAGAAATGCTTACAGGAGGCAATACATCGACCAAGCTGAACATCATCCATCGTAGCAATTGATTATGATAAACAACAGCAACAGTAGGACCCCGACGCATCAAGCAAATCGAACCCATGCAGCCAGTCAGCTTCTACTAGACTCAATGCACACAGCAACTGCGACACCAAATTCCTGCCGTACGCAACCACAGCACCCATGTCCCTGTCTCCTCCCCGGATTTCGTTTCGTTCCATTAACCAATAGCTCCGGCGGGCAATATCGAAGCAATCAATTCCCTGTCAGTCACCCGCGCCACCAAACAACCAATCGATAGACCTGGAGAGTGTAACCCCCTCATTCCATGACAATTGATTCGAATTCCTCGCTAGCTTCGTTCACAAAAATCCGGGGTCAATCTAGCCGGTCCAGGCCCCCAGCGATATCTAGTACTCAGTACCTTTTCGATTCACATTTTACTTTTGACTTTTGTGTACTCAGTGTACACCCACCCCCTCTTTAACCCATCTTCTCATCATGATGAACCTGGGGTTTGTTCCTGGATGATGACTCGTATTCGGGAGATGTGACAAACAAAACGTCATTTACCACATGCCATGTGAGATTTCTATGGGGATAAATTAGATTTCGATCGTCCCTGGATTCCGCGGTCATGCCGGTTATCTCTCCTTGGCTGGCTGGATGCCTGCCGGCCTGTCTTTTCAGGCAACAGCTTTAGTTACTAAGTAAAGTACTGCCCCCGCGGTCGCGGTTCAAGCCGATATTTTTTTTATTTGGTGGATGGTGATTTG